CACAATGGTGCGGTAGTAGCAGTCCTCCGCAGCGAAGGGGTTAACAGTGCAGGCACAAACTGTTGATCAAAACATTCTGTTTTGTTTCGATTAACTTGAAAAATACAATACCCTGGAAAAAAAAAGAAAAAGTCCCCGCAAAAGAAGGCGCTATTTGCAAAAAAAGAGGGCGCAGTTTGCCATGTCAAAATGGCAGCTGTTACACGTACACACTTGTGTGCATGTAAACAGTTTTTTTTGTGTGGCTGTTTGTTTTACGGACTCCTACAATGGGTGTTCCGATTTCTAACTATTCACCGTTGGCAGGTGCGAAGTATTATAAGGGTTGGAGCAGGGACTGAAAGTACTTACAGCACTCATTAAGGAGTCCAGGACGCTGACGGCAAATGCTGTTCCACATGCAAAGGGTTGCGTGAGGTACAGCTCAGTATTGGGATCATCCTCGTCATCCTGATCTAAAAACTGGACATTGCAGTCGTTCACTGAAGAAGAAAATCAAAGGGTGAGAGAGAGTGCGTCAGGAAAAGAACGGCAAGCAATTCACAAGAGCCGTCCAGCAGAAACACTGAACTAACTTGGAACGTTGGGGCATGAACACATCACAGTATTCTGACGTAATAAAATCAATTCAAACATTTCAAACATGAATATTTCATTACTTGCCCAGTCAAAAATAACATTGTTAAATGCCTCTTATGGCATGTAAAGCTAGTTGTTACGACTAAAAACAAATCAAATGTCATCCAGATGAATTTTCTCACATCAATCAACAGCAGAGAGTCCAGTCAAAAAAACAAAAAACTATTAAAAAGAACTGGACAGTCCAGCCTCCCGTAATCTGTGAATAGAGTACCGAAGTGTGACGTCACTGTGAACCAGAAAGTGCAGTGCAAACAAATGGAGTACGCGCGCGTGTTGGTTCACACGCTGGTTCGCGCGCTTATGCCTTTTACACACTAAGGTATTCACTTCGGTACTCTATAACTTGTGACTGCCTTGAATATAATTCACAATGTAGCGACAGGCCCATGTACTGATGGAGCTTGTGGAGGCCTACCGTCCATCAAGCACAGCAGGAAGGCACACAGGCATTAAAAACAGTGTGGTGTCATTATTACAGAGGTCTGTCCTTTGAGGCTTTCAGGAATGAAACCCAATGGTAGGCACTACAAGACGATTTATTCACAGAAAAAAAATTGTGTCATCCCGCGTGGAAAATGTTTTGTCCTCAACAAGGGTGGTAGGACTGCCCGTCAAAATGGACCTACCAGTTGCAAGCTCTACGTGACAACTGTAGAGAATGCCACAGTTTCCTTGATGGAGATGAACAAAGTTGTCCAACGTAAGTCTGTCAAATCCACAGCATGTGTTTTGTTGACTGACAATGAAGTACCTCATTCCATTCAGGGTCCAAAACATAAAAGGGCTTTACTGATCGGGGATTTCCATTGAAAAACGAATCAAGGAAAGCTTCCATGAGCTGATTTCTTGTTTAGGTGAAGTCAGTGAAGGATATACTCACCAAGTTCAGTGATCATTGGGACATTAGCGCCCACTGCTGAGCCTCTCCTGCTAGGCTGCTCCAGAACAGGCGTCTCTATTCCAGGAAGATGCATCGGCATGATGGCTACGGTAAATGGTTAGCATAAAAACAGTTGAAGGCCTTGCACCAAACACAACAGAACAACAGCACTAGAACTCAACTTGGTCTAACCAGACACTCGTGAAGATTACAGCATTCATTAGATTTATTGGATTCCTATTGGTCTATTCTGTGCATGGTGCTGAGTTCTGACCACACGCACAAGCGTCGGTACCCACGCACAAGCGTCGGTACCCGCTTATGAGAGAACCCTGATCAAATTACAAATCCCACTGCTAGCCATCTATCCACAGGCATGCAATTTGGACTTTGACAACAATCAAGGTAACTCCAAGGAAACTCTTTACAAGACTTTGTACGGTGTTTTTCAATTTTTAATGACAAGAGGGTTAAGTGAAAAATGAGGGAATCGGCTGATCCGAGGAAAGTTGCATGCCCGTATCTACAGTTTGTATCGACATAATATGGTCGCTAAAACCTGCTTACTTAACTAAGGATTAATTTCACAAAATCTCAAACCTAAAGTAATCCTGGGGTTGACCCCATCAAATATTATAAGCATACACAATACATTTCAGCTTCCTTGGTGGTGCAGTTCTACAAAAAAATGTGCCTGAGGTATGGGTTGGCTTTATTGCGCACAGGCTTTAAAAACCTTGGCGAGTTTCATCTTCTCGCTAAAAAACAGTCTGGCAAAATGGGTATAACTTGGTTCCAGGACCACTTCTATGCCTACAATTCTTCCTAAATGTTTTGAAGTTTGTTACTGTCCAATGAATTAAACCCCCCATGATGGGCACAAATGCATGAATGTGATGAACCATATGCTTCCGCAGAGTTAGTATCCAAAGTGTGTTGCACGTCACACCCTATACAAGCATACTCTCTACTTCACTACCATGCACATGTATCATACAGAGGTTAATAAATATGGCCAAGTCTGAACCAGGAGCGTTGGTTAGTGTCTCCTTCGGACATACAGGCACATCAACATGCATTCCACAACTTGATGGAGGAGGGAGTGCTGAACTCAGATGGCATTTCACTTCTGGGTGTGTGGTTTCAACGACAGCTAAAGCTGCTAGCGGGAAGTGGTGGGATTTAGTGGGAGGGGGGTGGGGTAATGTAACTGAATCGGCATTTTGTTCATCATCCCTTACATGCCTCTCGACAAAAGAACACAAAACAAGAGATCGACATTTGTACAACTCGAGAGAAAAGAAAAAGAGGGAACAGCAGAATGGAATAATTCTGAACTGATGAAAAACACAAACACAACATCTCTGCAAAAAATGTACACAACCATATCCAGAAAAACAACCCAACCATATCCAGAAAAACAACCCAACCATAT